TAGAAGAAAACTACTTTTTTTTTAGGAAGTTTAGCCCTGAGCTAACATCTGCCACCAAGCTTCCTCTTTTTTTGCTGAGGAAGACTGGCCCTGAGCTAACATCCGTGCCCATCTTCCTCTACTTTATATATGGGATGCCTACCACAGTGTGGCTTGCCAAGCAGTGCGTAGGTCCACACCCGAGATCCGAACTGGTGAACCCCCCGGGCCGCCAAAGCGGAACTTGTGAACTTAACCACTGCACCACTGGCTGGCCCCAGAAGAAAACTACTTTTAAAAATGTAATGAATAAAATGTACATGCTAAAGGCTTGCATCTATTTCAAAGGGCCAAGAAACTAAATTTGAGAAGACATTAAGTGACTTCTAAGAGAATTCCAAAAGGAGACTGGGAGGGAGTCATCTGAAAAATAACGCAAAAACATCAGAGGAAAAAGAGATCAGAAGAGATTATCTAGTATATTCTCTGTCCTCAGGAGATAGCAAAGCTTTCAATCCAAGAGAGATACCGTCTACATTTGTGGGACCATGTTTTTAAACTGTGCGCTGTGAGCAGGTCAAGAAAGCAATTTAGTGGGTCATGACGGTCAATTTCCTTTTAAATGAAAGAGAACAAAATCTAATAGAAAACATCAAGTTGCATTTGATGTAGCAAAAGTACTGAGTTTGATGTATAACTGTGTGCACACGTGTTGATTAGTTCACGATGTAATATACATTTCAGACAGTGAGTTGCAGTCAAGAAAGTTTGAAAAACACTCTTCTAGAAAACTTTTATTAGAAAGGGTTCTCTATTTTTTGAGGAAGATTAGCCCTGAGCTAATATCTGCCGCCAATCCTCCTCTTTTTGCTGAGCAAGACTGGCCCTGAGTGAACATCCGTGCCCATCTTCCTCTACTTTATACGTGGGATGCCTGCCACAGCATGGCTTGCCAAGCAGTGCCCTGTCCGCACCTGGGATCTGAACCGGTGAACCACGGGCCGCCCAAGCGGAACATGCGCACTTAACCACTGAGCCACCGAGCCGGCTCCAGGGTTCTCTTTTTAATACATACTAAACACATTCCGTTATGAGTGCTGACACTTTTTCTCAATCTTGTAGTTTATGCTAAAATTAAACAGAGAATGGGAGAGAAATATTAGAACTAGAAGGAGGAAACAAATTAGCAGAATGTAAACGAGTGAACTGATGACAAGAGACTACAGATCAAACAAAGGAGACAGATGAGCTCTGAGCTTTTTTCTAAAGCCTCCTGCTTGTTGGTAACTGAAGATCCCCTAGCTAGTCTCCTTCCGCGTTGGAACACTAGTTACACAGTACTTGCTCAAAAATTACTTGTCCAATGACACTCTAGGAGCACCTGTATCATCTCTATGGTAACACTTATCAAGCAACGTGATTGTGGCCTTTTTAATAAGGTCAGTCTCAAACATATAGATACAGAGATTACATTGGTGGTTACCAGAGGGGAGGTGGGGAAGGAGGAGGTGGAAAGGGATGATGGGGATGTGTGTACGGTGACGGATGGTAACTAGCCTTTGGGTGGTGAACATGATATAGTCTACACAGAAATCAAAATATAACGATGTATACCTGAAATTTATATAAAGTTATAGACCAATGTTACCTCAGTGAAAATAAATAAACAAACTATAAGTATAAAAAATAATGTTAGTCTCCTTCACTTGTAGAAGCTCCCTGAAGGCTGGGCTAATGTTTGGTCCACTGCTGTATCCCCACCTCCGTGACAGTGCCTGTCAGATAGTAGGTGTTCAATAGATTTTGGGTGGATTGACTTGCAAGGCATCAGAGAGCAATAAAGATCTAGTTCTAATAACCATTTAATGCTTGAACTCCCTTTGCAAGAACAAACTGATGTCAGTTAATTGAGCAAAAGATATTGCAATCAGAGAAAACCAACAACAACAAAACTCTGAATTTAAGTTTTCAGGGAACAGATAGCTTGGAATCTCTTATGTGTCTTGCCCCAGGGGTCAGGCTGGCTCAAAGGACTTATCTCATCCTCTTGAAATGTCACAAGCTCTTTAGGACATCAAGCTTGGACCTGCCTTTTGGACCCAATCTGTCTTCTGGGGACACACAGAAGATGCTCCTTCTAGTCTGGACAGCTGGAGGGCAAGAAGCACCTGGAAGCTGAAGCTGCTGAGCTGTTTCAGAGGCCCTGTCCACACTGCTAACTGGAGTGGGCAGGATGCCCAGGAGGGCCTGAGCAGAGGGCTGGATTGGAGAAGCAGTCCACTGACCAAGCGAGTCAACAAGGAATCAAGCCCTGGTTGCTTGTCCGCAAGAAGCCCAGGCTGAGAGGAGATGAGACCTGCTGGGAAGTGGTCACCTGCCTTTTTCACCCTTCTGCAGCTCTGTCACTCCTCCAGGCCAGGTGTCCAAACCCAACTCCTAAGAGGACAGCTGATTAGGGTGAGTCGACAAGGATGCCTTGAGCATGAGTGTGGTGCTGCTCACCAGGCTGGATTCCTTGGAAAGGCGTATGGTGGGTTATCAGCGGAAGGACGGGTGAGGGACGCCCTACCCCAAAGGATCAATTCAAATTCAAATTCAAAGGAGAGCCCACTAGTCACTAGTTACTCTTCTTCTCAGCCAGGCAAACACCCTGATTGCTATTACCAACTAAAAGTCCTCTTGATCAAGGACACTGATGAGTATCAACAGCAGAGATAAATGTTTGATCCCTACAGTTGTGCTAAAGTAACCACTTTACCCTTCGTGTATTCTGTTCCTTCTGCAGTCAAATCTCATGTCTCTGTGCGTGAGGAGGGCAAGGAATAGAACAACCCTGTCTGCGAAGTTCAGTGGATACCAAGAAGCCAGAACACTTCTTTTAGCAAACAGTCTCAGCCTCCAACCCCGACCCAAGGTTTAGCCCAGTCTCCGTCTGACCATCTGCCAGCACACACTGAAGGAATGTACATCTGCCTTGGGTTCACTTGAGCAGAATGTAATCAAGAGGGCAGGTTGGCTGGGGCCATTGGCGCAAGAGGAGGGATGGGTATCATGCACTCCAAGGTCAAGCGGGAACGAAGTCTGGGCTTTTTTGTTTTTAATACTATAGACATCTAGATACTTAGTTTGAATCTCAATTCTAACTTCAGTGTAACTTAATCTCTCCTGGCCTCAGTTTCCTAAGAAATCATATGTAAAAGATAAAACGCAATGTCTAGCAGTGCCTGGCAACTTAATGGGCCAGCAAACAACACATATTATCGTTAGGATTGTAGTATTGCAAAATGGATCACAGCAGAGGTTTTGGAGTCAGAAGGACTCCAGGATGCTGGCTCCATGGACCTCAGCAGCTGTGACGCCTTGGGAAAGTTCTCTAACCTCTCTGAGCTTGCATTGTCTTATCTACAAAAGCGAGACAATCCAATCACTTCATAGGGTGACTGTAAGTATTAAATGAGAATCTGTATGTTAAACGCCTTACATAAATGTAAGATCTCCATAAATGTTGGGCACTATTCTGATGGCTTGCTCCCTCAGAGGTAGACTTGCCCCCAGTAAAGGACTGACCTGTAGCTACCTCAAGCAATCAGATGAATCTCTCAAAGGTTACTGATGCTTAACATGCCAAATACCGTATGTTCCCCCATGCTCCTGCTCCTCCTCTCATGTTCCCTATTATAGTGTATGGCACACCAGCTTCCCTGTTATCCAAATAAGAAACCCTGCAGTTGGGGCTGGCCCCGTGGCCGAGTGGTTAAGTTCGCGCGCTCCGCTGCAGGCGGCCCAGTGTTTCGTTGGTTCGAATCCTGGGCGCGGACATGGCACTGCTCATCAGACCACGCTGAGGCGGCGTCCCACGTGCCACAACTAGAAGAACCCACAATGAAGAATACACAACTATGTACTGGGGGGCTTTGGGGAGAAAAAGGAAAAAATAAAATCTTTAAAAAAAAAAAAAAAAAAGAAACCCTGCAGTCATCATTGACTCTTCTCTCTCCCCCTACAGCAGATCAGTCATTGGGTTCTTTTGATTCTACTACTTCCTTTTTTTTTTGGTGAAGAAGATTGGTCCTGAGCTAACATCTGTGCCAGTCTTCGTCTGTTTTGTATGCGGGATGCATGGCTTGATGAGCAGTGTGTAGGTCTGTACCTGGGATCTGAACCCGTGAACCCCAGGCTCCAGAAGTGGAGCACGTGAACTTAACCACTATGCCACCAGCCCAGCCCCTGATTCTACTTAAATATGTCAAATCCATTTGCTTCTCTCCATCTGCCCACCACAAGTATTATTTCAAGGTATCGTCAACTAGATAACCTGTCTCTAACCTCACCTCCCTGCTCCAGCCTTCCTCCTTCAGTCCACTTTCCAAGCTGCAACTACAGTCATCTTCCTAAAGTACAAATCTGATCATGCCTCTCTCCTGCTTTAAACCCTTCATTGGCTCCCAAAATAAAATCCAAGTCCCTTAACAGGGCTTCCAGAACCTGCCATGATCTGCGCAGTGCTAAGCTCCCTCCGCAGCCTCATCCCTCAGCATGTCTCTTCTTGTTCTGTGCGCCCCAGCCACACCAAAGTACTTGCAGTTCTCCAAATGAATCATGCTCTCTCTTTCTCTCTCTCTCTGTAAGGATTTCACACATGCTCGGTCCCTTCCCTTCTCATGCTAACTCATTCTCAATCTTCAGGTTTCAGCTTAGGTGTCATTTCTTCCAGGAAGCCTTCTCCCACACTTGAAGGCTTAGATGCCTTTCTAAGTCAGATGCCCCTTTCACTGTAATAGCTGCTTATTTGTTTATCTACCCCACTAGATTGGGAACCCTTTAAGGACAAAGCCCAATTTTGTCATTGAAACACCCCAAGTGCCTCAAACAATGACTGATACAAAACAGGCATTCAAATATTTGTTTGATGGACAGAAGGGTGGATGCCCTGTGGAGCAGTTTCTGGTGTAGAGCTGCCCAGTAGCTAAGCCAACCCCGGGGCACCAGAATGTATTCCGTCCAGCAAAGGCAACACTTACCCAGGATGGCCACCACCTCGTCATCCTGGATCACCTCCAGGGAGCCGGAGACCACAAAGCAGAGGCTGTCCACACTCTCCCCTGCATGGTAGATGAGGTCCCCCGGGGCGCAGTGCACCGTCTGGAACTCCATGGCTAGCGCGCGCAGGCAGCCGTCGCTGGCCAGTCGGAAAGCTGGGTGCTCCTTGAACACCTTGCGGTTCAGGTGCACGCAGATGTCGGCTCTCATGTCCTTGGGGCAGATCTGCAGGACCTGGCCGGGCACAGGAAGAAACAGTGTCAGGGCCCTCCCTTTGGCCTCCAGCCCATAGCCCCTCGGCACCCCCAACACCCCACTAGGCTGGATTGTACTCTTCAAGGCGGTGGTGGACAAGACAGCCACAGTCAGGGTCGGCCCAGTGGTGCAGTGGTTAAATTCTCAGCTTCCGCTTCGGCGGCCCAGGGTTTGTCGATTCGGATCCTGGGTACAGACATGGCACCGCTTGGCAAGCCATGCTGTGGCACGCATCCCACGTATAAAGTTGAGGAAGATGGGCATGAATGTTAGCTCAGGGCCAGTCTTTCTCAGCAAAAAAAGGAGGATTGGTAGCAGACATTAGCTCAGGGCTAATCTTCCTCAAAAAAAAAAAAAAAAAAAAGACAGCCACAGTCCTTGTCCTCATGGGGCTTACTTTCTTGTGGGAGAGACAGGTAGTGACCACAAAAATCTGTGTAAATGCTTAGGACAGGGGCCCAACAATCTAGGGGCTGGGAGTATGTGGGACTCTTCAGATAGGTGGTCAAGGAAGGCCTCTCGCAGGAGGTGACAATTAAACTGACAGCTGCATAATGGGCCAGAGGGCGCCATGTAAAAGAAGGACATTCCAGCAGAACAGCCAAAGTTGTGAGGCAACCTGAGCAATAGCCAACGGGAATGAGGAGAAAGGGTTAAGAGACGAGGTTTCGGGAGAACGCCAAGCAGGAAAGCGGGTAGAGACTTTTAGGTTAGGAGAAGACTTGCATTTTATTCTGAGTGTGTTGGGGACACATTGAAGGATTTCAAGCAGGGGAGTGACAAGACCTGACCTGTATTCTAAAAGGATCATCGCAGCTACAGAGCAGGGTTCGAGCGCCCTGATCATACGATGCGGGAGGGGAACCAAGGAACCAAATTAGGTCACTCCTGCAGGTGCCCAGGTGAGAGGGGACTCAGACTGGGATGCTGGTAGCTGAGCAGGTGAGAAGGGACCAAATTCAGGATATATTTTGAAGATAGAGCTGCCATGATCTGCTGATGGACTGAATATGGGTGTGATTTAAAGAGAGATATAAAGTAATACCTACTGATCACATATTATGCACCAGGCATCGCTAAGTACTTTAGAGTCATTCATTCATTGATTTCATATTTACCTATCGAGCACTTTATTAGATGCCAGGAATCATTCTAGGCTCTGAAGATGCAGCAGTGAACAAAATGGACAAAAATCTCCACCTCGTGTAACCTACCATCTAGCGGGAGGAGACAAATAATAAGCAAAACGGGTAAAATTTAGCAATAAGTGCTAAGGAGAATAATGAAAAAGGAAAGAAGGAGAGGGAAAGTCAAGGAGAACTGTGAGTTTTACATTTTCAACGTTACACGCATTAGCTAATTTAAGCCTCACCTAAACCCTAGGACATAAGCGCAATTATTGTACCATTTTACAGACGAGAAAACTGAGGCACAGGGAAGAGAAATAACTTGCCCAAAGTTGCACAGCCAGGAAATGGCAGAGCTGGGTTCCCAAACTAGGCAGTGTGACTCCAGAGCCTAGTTGACATACGAACCACTGCCTAGATTATGCGGCCGCCCAGAACAAATGGGCTTGTAATTTGACTCCCAGCATCTAGGAACTCAGGGCAAAATCAGAACCATAAGAGGCCATGCGGGTCTCATCTTCCAAAGAAATAAAAATTCCTTAGCCTTTTCTAGGGGGAGAAGTATTTCTCTGGTCTAAATTTTAGCAAGAAACCATTGCATGACCCCTTAAGTGGCAAGCACTGAGTAACACAACAGGACACCTTCAAGTGGACTTTTCCAGAGAAATCAGGAGTGCTCCTAACATAACCCTTTCTCCCATGGTAGCCTGTGAACAAAGCTGGAGGCATAAAATCAAACGTATCCCTGAAGACATTTCCTTGAGGTGCTGGCGACGTCCCCACTCCTGCTTCTCTGCCTTCGCACAGGCCATTTGCTTCTGTGCCTGGAGCTCACCCTGGAATTCGGAAGTCCTTCAGCCTGGCTCAGAGCTCACCTTGCCCATGCCAGCTTTGCTCCTATCCCACCCTCTCAGGTGCCCCCTGTGCTCTGCATTGAGGTGTGGCCGTGGAAAGAGGAGGTCGAACAGTTGAAATTCCAGCTCCATCCCCTCCAAGTGACTTAACTGCTCTACACTTCAGTTTGTCCTGTAAAATGCACACTGCTAACCCTGGTTTGTAAGGATTAAGTGAAATTACATCTGCCAGTACATTTCCCCTGGGACAGTGCCTGGCCCCAGTAAAGGACTCGGTGAACCCTGGTCCCCTCCCTCTGTGTCTCTGAATTTTTGCTCTGAGGTTGCAGGATGCCAAGGAACTGAGCATGTTTTCTAGAAGTGGGGATGGAGGACTGACCAATGCAGAGGAAAACTGAGACTGCCAATGCTTAGGCAGAGTGCTTGCTAAGTACTTCCCTCCCTAAGGCTCACTGGAAACAAGACTCCTGTAGAAACACAGATTTAATTTGGGTCCTCTTCTCCCCAAGCAGAAAACCAAGGAGAGGGGAACCCTTGCAAGTCATGTCAAAACTGTGCCCAGCGGTTTGAAACCAAGATTTAGTCTCCAGGTGAGTTTATCTTTAAATACCTGGCTTCCCCTGGACTGGGCTTTGCTGGCAGAGAGGCTGCTAGTGAACGAGGCCTTGGCCTGGAGACAATGTTTTATTCATGGGCACTGATCCCAGAGACACTGGAAAGCACACGTGAGGAGGAGAGGGAACCTGGAGTGGAGAAATTACAGACTTTCATGGCCATCAGGCATCTCAGATCATTCTTCTGTTGGTTCCACACTGGGCAGGGTAGGGGGTCCTGAACTCCTCTCTATGAGGGAGGGTGTCAGTTCAAGACCCTGTAGCCTTCCTGGGCCACCTTCCCTTCTGCTTGGTTTGAGGAGAGACCATCCTTGCTGGTACTTGAGGCCTTGAAGGCCACAGGGAGATGACATCATGGAGGCTCATGGAGGCTCCCCAGGCTGGGCAGGACAGAAGCGTGGTTGGGAGAACAGGCTTGAGGATCAGGCAGATGTGGATTCAATTCCCAGCTTCAACATTTACTAGCTGTGGGAATTTGAAGCAACACTTAGGTTCTTTCCCCAAGTCTTCAGTTTTGAACCTGAGTATAGAATTCTTCCACAGATGCTGTGTGGGAACTCCCTGGTACAATGCCCAGCACACCCCATTGCTCAACGCATGTGAGCTCTCATTTCTGATGCCGTTATCATAGCAGGCCAGAAGGAGGCTTTGAAGTCCAGGTCAAAGCCAAGACAGCCTTAGAGGTCGGCCTTAGTCTTAAAAGTCATCTAGTTTCCATGTGTTACAGACACGGAAACAGAGCCTCAGAGGGACAAGTGATGTACTCAAGGTCGTCACCTCATTACTGGTAAAACTGGAGTTGCCAGAACTACCACCCTCCTGCCTCACACATGCACCTTAGCCCTCTGGTCATCACTGACCATTCTGATCTAGAATGGAGGGGACAGGAAGCCGGGAGAGGCATGGGATCATGGACTGGTTCTTACCCGAGCAGTTGCTGGCCACAAGCCCCTGCCAGGAAGAACAGCCACCCCAGGCTAGGCTGAGCTCTGCCATGAGTTGCCACAGTATACCCTTTTCAATCCGTATCAAGGCCTGGGGCTAATCCCAAAGCCCTCCAGGAAAGTGAGACGGCAGGAGGGGAAGGGAGCGCAAATGCTGACAATGCTGTCTCCCAGGGTAGCTGCCCAGTCCAGCTCTGCCGTGAGGGCAGGAAGGGCTTTTTTCCCACAACCAGATTTACAAAGGCATCCGGGACCCTGGGAAAAGGAGCCCCAGGGCTGGGAGATCAAAGTTCCTTTCTGCTCCATCAGCTGCCAGGCACCCACAGAACCTACGCGCCTTGTTGAGAAAGCAGAGCAGAAACAACAGGCACAGTCAGGGCAGGTGGTTGGCAAAGCCAAGGACTAAGTTCCGCCCGCTCCATGCCCTGCCCATCTGAGAAATGAGGGCAACTCCATCTGGACTTGTCTTTCCCTCCAGTACATGTTTTAAATGTACTAAAAAAAAAAAAGTAATAGTAGGAAAAGCACAAGCTTTGGACTCAGACAAAACTGCATTCAAATCCTGACTTTGCCATTCTTAACTCCGTGACCAGGGGCAGTTAATTAATTGAGCCTCTGTAACTTCATACCTTCCGTAGAAATAATAGCAGCTCCCTCCCGGAGTTGTTGTGGAGCCTAAATGAAGCATGAATGCAGGGCCAGGCGCGTGCAGGAGTGCAGTAAATATTTGTTCTCAGCGCACATTCAAGGAATGGGAGCTGGTGCTGGGGTGGTGTCATTTTATGTTATTGTTGTTACTATGGCAGATATTCAACAAAACCAAAGTATCCTTCCTTTTAAGTTGTGATCAGTTAAATTTAGTTCAAGTTTTCCTTTTAAACTATCAACTCTCAACTGACGATTCTAATGGAGAAAGACTAGGAACATGGAGAGCTGGTCCAAAGCCAGTTGAATTTGGCTTTGACTTTGTCATAAGGTATTTCTGCCATAGTGTTGTCTTTCTCTTTTCCTCATTCTAACAATGAAAGGAATCAGTACTTACAGGTTAGCAATAAAAGAAGGGCGGTTCAAAAGTCTGAGAAGCAGAGAAAAACTTAGCAATCCCTTAAAATCTGATGTTACATTTTTGCTTATAGAAAATATACAAAGGAGATAATTCATAAATGAATAATAGAAATAGGAAGTCCACTGTATCTTTCCTTTATTCCTTCCAGTACCGCGAAATTTTCTTCAGTTTGCCGAGATGCATCTACAATAATGAAACTCTTAGGGAATGATAGGGATTTATTGCCATTTCCATTTTACAGGTGGGAAGACTGATGGCTAGAGATGTGTCTGACCCATGCTCTGCTCAAGTCAACTGATGATTAAGGCACAAGCCCTTGAAGGGTATTTCCCAGACTTGTGTGATGAATAGGGTCACCCGGGCATTGCCAAAAATGCAGATTTCCAGTTCCCTCATACCCTACCCCCAAATCCTGATTCTTTAGATCTGGGATGGACGCTGGGAATGGTTTTTTTTTTTTTGAGGAAGATTAGCCCTGAGCTAACTGCAGCCAATCCTCCTCTCTTCGCTGAGGGAGACTGGCCCTGAGCTAACATCCGTGCCCATCTTCCTCTACTTTCTATGTGGGACGCCTAGCACAGCATGACGTGCCAAGCAGTGCCGTGTCCACACCCAGGATATGAACCGGTGAACCCCAGGCCGCCGAGAAGTGGAACGTGCAAACTTAAACGCTGTGACACTGGGTCAGCCCCTGGGAATGTTTTTAAGGATCACACCATGGGATTCTTATCAGGGCCAAGCCCAGAGTGAGGCAAGAGCCTTGGGCACAAAATTGAAGGGGATGCTAAAAACGCAGTAATCAAGATAAATCATAGCTTAATGCAATATTTTTAAAAATTAAAATTCATGCAAAAAATCCATGATGAACAAAATATCGAAGTGTGAATAAAGACAAGATCAGTAGCAGTGCTGTGCCATCTTGGACCCTGAGGTGAAAGGAAGACCAGTAATACCGATCACCTCACCCCGGCTGGCCCTGAGTCTTATCATCATACAAGTGTGGGAAATTCTGCCCTAGACGGATCAACTTCCAGTCCCTGTCTTCTCCAGGAGACACACCTGCCTTTCCAATATCTTAAATGAAGGCTCTTAATTGCTGGTTCTTGAGCAAGGCTGATGTGGAAGCAATCAAAACTTCTGGAGGTAGGACCTGGGAACCCAAAGCTACCCAGGTGAATTCTGATGGATGGCCAGGATTGAGAATCACTGTCCTACGAGAGCCTCAGGTCTCGCTGGGAAAGCCGAGAGACAAGCAGTTTACCTGAGCTTGTCGCCCTCCTTACCTTCTCTGTGTCGATGCCTCTGGACATGGACCAGGTGGACACGATGTAATCCATGACTCGCTCGCTCAGCCCCTTTGGGACCTGGTAGAGCTTCAGGAAGTCTCTAACGCTGTTGAGCATCTCATGGTACCTGTTGGTGTTGGCGTACATTTGTTGGAAAATGGTCGTCACATTCCCGAAGATTGTGGCATACAGAAGGGCTAGAGGCAGGAGGAGGAGAAGAAACAAGACATGAGTGGTCCCTGGGCCAGACCCAAGAATGCCCAACTTGCCCAGAGCAGGTCAATGGCCAGAGCTGTCCCCCCAAGTGCAGACTGTCCTGACCCTCCTCAGGAGAACCTGACCCCAGAGCCTCAGGGAGTGGACCCAAAGAGAAAGCCTCTTAACCCCAGGCCACTAGGACAGGGCTGGGGTAGATGGGAGCTGACAGGGCTGGGGCCAGAGCTAGGAGACAGATGGCAGTGGAGGGAGAGGGGTGGGGGCAGTTGGACTTCTTCACTTTATACTTCTTGTCACAAAAAGTTTGCACCATGCCTGAGGCCACCAGTCAAACATGTTCCTATGTGTTTCATACCAGCCCAAATCCAAACCTGTCAGCAAGTGATCATCATCAAGCCTTGCTATGTGCCAAGCACTCCCCTACCTGCTGAGGAAGGATGGTGAATGAAAACTCAGTCCTGGCCCTCATGCAGCTAACAGTGCAGCCGAAGGACAGAGCTCGAATATGTAATCACAGCTCCCAGTTGCTCTTGAATGCTGAGCTCAAGTGCCACCACTTCCTGGAAACCATCCCAACACTCTTCCCCTCCATCTGTCCCCATGAGAGTGACCAGGACTCCCCAGGCATATTTCTACAGAGCTCATGTTATATGTACCAGTTTACAAGCATATGCCTCTTTCTTTGCCTGCGCCCTAACAGGGTTTGAATGGCCTAGAGCTGGACCCATCTTTTCCTTTTCCCTCTTTTCCTTGTAACCCCAGTATCTAACACTATACCAGTACTCAACAAATATTTGTGAAATTAGTAAATTTCACATGTTTTTGCTCTAGCTTTTTGAAAAAAACTTTTTTAAAAATTTGGATTATTGATATATAATAAACTGCATATGTTTAAAGTATACAATTTTGATAAGTTTTGACATATGTAAACACCCATAAAATCACCACCACAGTCAAGATAGTGAACATCTCATCACTCCCAAAAGTTTACTCATGTCCTTTGATAATCCCTTCTTCCCACCCCTCCCCGCTCCCCATCTTCCACTCCCCAAGCAACTGCTGATGTTTTCTATCACCAAAGGTTAGCTTGCATTTTCAAGAATTTTATATAAATGGAATCATACAGTATACTCTCTTTTTAAACATCTTTATTAAGATATAATTCATATACCACAAAATACATCCATTTAAAGTATACAATTCAATGGCTTTTAGCATATTTATAGAGCTGTGCAACCATCACTACAGTCTAAGTTTAGAATGTTTTCATGCCCCCCAAGAGAAACCCCATACCCATTATTCGTCATTGCCCTTCTCCCCTACCCTCTGCATCCCCCAGCCCTGGGCAGCCATTAATCTACTTCTTGTCTCTATAGATGTGCCTATCCTGGACATTCCACATAAGTTAAATCATACAATATGTGGGCTTCTTTCATTTAGCACAATGTTTTCAAGGTTCATCCACGGTGTAGCATGTATCAACACTTCATTCCTTTTTATTGTTGAAGAATATACCATCGTATGGATATGCCACATTTCATTTATCCAGTCATCAGTTTGTGGGCCTTTGAGTCATTTTCAGTTTTTGGCTATTATGAATAATGCTGTTATGAACACTCATGAACAAGTTTTTGTAAGAACATGTTTTCAATTCTCTTGGATATATACCTAGGAGTGGAGCTACTGGGTCATATGATGACTATGTTTAACATTTGAGGAACGGCCAAACTGTTTTCCACAGTAACTGCACCATTTTGCATTCCCATCAATGATGTATTGGGCTCCAAAGGTCTCCATATGCTTATCAGTACTTGTTTCTATCTGTCTTGTTGATTAGCGCCATCCTAGAGAGTGTGAACTGCTACCTCATTGTGGTTTTGATTTGTATTTCCCTGATGGCTAATGATGTGGAGCATCTTTTCATGTGCTTATTGGCCATTCAGGTATCTTCTTTGGAGAAACATCCACTCAAATATTTTGCCCATTTTTCAGTTGGGTTGTTTGCCCTTTTATTATTGAATTATGTATTCTTTATATGTTCTGGATACAAATCTTTTATCAGTTATATGATTTGCAAATACTTTCTCTCATTTTATGGGTTGTCTTTTCAGTTTCTTTTTTTGTGTGCGTGAGGAAGATTGGCCCTGAGCTAATATCTGTGGCCAATCTCCCTCTTTTTGTTTGAGGAGGATTGTCGCTGAGCTAACATCTGTGCCAATCTTCCTCTATTTTATGTGGGATGCTGCCACAGCATGGCCTGATGAGCTGTGCTAGGTCCACGCTCGGGATCCGAACCTGCAAACCCCAGGCCACAGAACCGTAGCATGGGAACTTAACCACTACACCACCACGCTGGCCCCATCTTTTCACTCTCTATGTGGTATCATTTGCAACCTGAAAGTTTTTAGTTTTGATGTAGTCCAATTTATCCATATTTCTCTTTTGTACTCTTTTGACTGGCTTCTTTCATTCAGCATAATTACTTTGAGATCCAACGATGTTATTAAATGTAAAAATAGTGCATTCTTCTTTTTAAGAAAAAAAATGTTTTATTTCGAATTAACCATAAGTCACAGGGAGCTGTAAAGATAGTAGAGAGAGAGTCCATGTATGTACCTTTCCCCCAGTTTCCACCCAGTGGTTTCATGTTGCATAAGCAGAGCACACTATCAAAACCAGAAGATTTACACTGCTTCAAGGATGCGTGTAATTCTGTGTCATTTTGTCACACGTGTAGATTCATGTAACCAGCACCACATTCAAAATACAGAACTGGTCCATCACCACAGAGATTACCCTGCACTACTCCTTTCTACTCACATTCCCCCTAGCGACCACTAATCTCTTCTCCTTTTTTTATAATTATGTCATTTCAAGAACATTATATAAATGGAATCATACAGTATGTGACCTTTTGAGATTGGCTTTTTCCAATTAGCAAGACGCCTTGAGATGAATTCTTGTGTGTATCAATAGGTCATTCTTTTTTATTGATGAATACTATCCTATTGGATAGATATGCCACAATAATTTCTTTCTAATAATCTTACTCAGGGTTAGGTGACAGACTATAAGGGAGGGGAAAAAATAAGAGAGAAAGGCATGGATCTAGAAGTAAGGGAAGGAAATCTTCACCTGAATCTGTCCAGCAGTGCTAGTGCTGGACATGGCTGCCTGAAAAACTGAGGACACAAATCCACCTGAAGAGAATTTTGAATGAGGATGGGAGCGCTTGCTGCTGGCTCCAGAAATGTACCAGGGAGTGCTGTCAATCTGAACAGAGCAGTCAGATGAAAAGCAGAAGTAGTCAAAAGCCTGAATAATGCAGACACCAGCTCTTCTAAGCTCATAAATAACCTCATATATCACAGGGTCAAAGCTCCTACTTCCTCCATCCCAGCAAAGTCACTGAACATGCTCAGAACCAACCTCCCAGAGTCTGGGCTGGCTGCCCAGTTCCCAGTGAGTCTGACCCTAACTCAACAAGCCTGCATAGCAGTCCTGCCTCAGCTCTGTTTTCTGGTCCACAGCGAACCAGAGGTCATACGTGAAGAGTAGAGGTGCCTTTCTCAGAAGGCTGTCAGAAAATTAATTTAATCTTGAGCTTAAAGAAATAGTACCACTGGGGGCTGGCCTGGTGCCATAGTGGTTAAGTTTGTGCACTCCACTTCAGCAGCCTTGGGATGGCTGGTTCAAATCCCTGGCACAGACCTACATACCACTCATCAAGCCATGCTGTGGCAGTGTCCCACATACAAAATAGAGGAGAATTAGCACAGATGTTAGTTCAGGGCCAATCTTCCCACCAAAACAAAACAAAACAAAACAAAAAAGGAAATAGTAACACCAAATCAATACAGTAAGAATGGCTCTCTTGTCCATGACCTGAGAACCAGGCACAGGTCTGAGACACTGGTGTGCTGATCAGACAGCTAAGGCAGTGATGCAGTGCCTGTCATTTATGGTCCAGGGCTGCTCCTGTCCCACCTGCTTCTGAGGTATTCTAGAAGGTTAAGGGTCCTCAGGAGAGCCTTATTCAATTATTATCACTATTATGAAATATTATTATTATTAAAAATGGATAATCCTGCTCTCAGTGCCCCTTCTTTAGTTTTACATGGTTGAGTTATATGTTTTTATGTACACATTTTCTTTATTGATACCTATATATAAAGCATATGTCCTAAAATACACACAACCTCACTGAGAGAGAAGATATCTAAGTCCAGCTATCACTTGAATAGATATTTGAGTGTGACGTGGGGAGGAAGAGAGGGAGACTGTAATGTCACTTCCATGACTGGACCTCACAGTGCCGAGGATGCTCTGGATGACTCTAAATGTGGATTAGTGGTGTCCCTTCATTTTGGGAAAGAAGTCAGGAGGCCTCTCCCAAGCGCAAGGCAAAATGCTGATTTGGATAAGAGGAGGTTTCTTTCCTTATCTGAGTGGTTTACAGTTAATATTGTGTCATAGAAAGAGCTCTGGGTCCCATCCAAAGAAAAACAAGATGCATTCCCTGGCCCTTAATTAGAAATTGCCATATGGAATTTAGGGGATGAGTTGCAAAACTTTTTGGTTCTGTTTCTCTTTTAAAAATGTAGTGTTTATTTCTGTATACATGGTACATATACACAGTTTAAAGAGTTAAATGGCCAAGACATTTAAAAAGTCCTTTGTCCCCTAAGACTTCTTTCTTTTCACCCAATTTCCTGTTCTTCAGAAGTACCCACTTTCAATTGTACTAGCTGATTGCTTTGCTACTAATCTCCATATTTGAATGTCATGCTCAAATCGTTATGCCTTGATATTTCAATTACCGGCATTATCCCTCGACCTCTGAGAATTTAGCTCTTTTCTCTCCTCACCTCCAATGTCACACTCATCTCTCACACCTTTTCCCACTGCTCCACTCTCCCAATATAGTCATGTAATCATTTGGTTACATAATTATCTGCATTATATTATTATAACTAGGTGA